GTCTTATAATTATAAAAATTATGTCACAAGATCAGTCCCAAGGTCAGTCCTTAAATGGTACTGATGTATTTCCACCCCAAGTTGTTCAGCACACCCACTCACCTTTCACAGCTAACAAACTGTGTTCCCCTTACTGTTCTCTTATGCATTCCCTGACTTCCTCATTTTCAATGATTTCCTGTCATCAAATGCTGAGGTTCAGAAAAATATACTGTATTTTCTTGTCACTTTTCTTACAAATTATTTTAGCATGAACTACATTGATAAATCCACATTTCAGCTATTTAGTCGTGCCATATGCTTCATTCTTTCTTTCCTCAAATTATGGTGTAGATCTTCACATACCTCTGAAATCAAGCTAAGTAAGTTTTGAGCTGCCTGAATCACTTTCTTCCTATTCTTGACCAAAGGTGTTACAGATAAAGAGGTAAATTTAGTATCTTTCCTTATCAGGTAGATCAACACCATCTATCCCCTATTCTTGTGTTCAGGATAAAGTATTGCATCTGTTCTTTAGTTTAATCAAGTGTTTGCACATTCTACCTTGCTATATTTATGTGCATGCATTTCAAATAAAAATGTAGAAGATCACAGATTTAAAATGGATCACATTTTTTGTTAAAACTCACAAAAATAAGGTACTCCTTCCCTAAATCTCAGCTTAATTGCACATGAGGGACATTATTTTAATGCAGCCAACCAGTTACTGAAATAAATCCAATAAATTCTACTTCACCTGCTTTTACTAATTGTCAGATGACACCACAAAGGTATTTAAAACTGAAGTTCACTCTTCATTTTACTGTGATGTTCTTTCTTTTGCAAAAAGGATAATTACTCATGCAGAATTTTCAGACACTAAATTCTTACTATGATAGCTATATTTTGTTTACAAATTGCACAGAATCCTCCAAGGATGCTTGAAAGATTATTAAATTTAATCTGAACATAAAACTGAAGAACACGTTGCTGGTATTTATGAAATAACCATTCACATTACGTCAATTCCTATGAATTCTGTATATGCAAAATTTCTTTAAATAACCGTCATTTCTGTGACACACAATGAAATTCACAAATATGGAACACAGACATGGTGTGAACTGAAAGTTGGAGAAGGAAAGGATTGCCTGGGTTTGTGTTCCTATATGCATATATAGTATTAATGTCCATGTATTTAACAGGGCATCGCACAGACTGTAAAACTGCAGTTTCTTCTGACTGAATTGATACTTAGCCAGGAGAAAACCTGAGAAGTAAAAACTAGGCAGAGGGGATTATCACAGGGCTGAAGAGTTATAAGGTATCTGCTTCTGTTTTATTTTTTCCTTCCAAAACCAGGTTTATCTAAACTAAATGTTACATCATAGGTCCTCTTCTCTGAAATTACTTAATTGTATGCTTTCTGCTCAAGGACATCCTGGTACAACTGGACAAAATCTTAGCTCTCTCAACATTTGGCACATGCTCTTTCCAGAGCTACATTTTAACTGCCATTACCTGAGCTCACACCTCATACCTTCTCTATCAGTTTCAACAAATCACCACCACACAAGCACAGCTTTGCCAAATCTCAGAACTGAGGAATAAGGAATGGTGAACAAGAGAGGATGACGTTAAAGCCTTCCAGCAAAGTGATCAGAATGAACTCAACTCTAGTTAGTCCTTTCAGGATAATCTGCAATAGACACACATTGACACAGTAATTCTGACCATACTCAAGATGCTGTTAGAATAAATGCCTTAATGAATAAGGCCAAATACTGAATTTTACAGTGCAGTATTCATAGCATTCCTTTCACCCTTTGATTGTTTACTTTTCTCCTTACATAACAGGCTCGTTTTTCCCTAGAGAGATGTCATAAAAGTCAAGCTGCCTGAATTGCTAATAGACTTACTTCAAAGTTAATTAGTTTAATTCCAGAATCTGGTCTTCCTGCTGCATCTCTCCCTCCATCTGCTAGCAGCAGATCTGTAGCAAGAGACTACACACGTTCCAGGATTTTTTTTGGTGTTTTAACTTTGGGCGAGATCTGATCCCTAGGCCTGAATGCCCATCTGTGGCTGGTGTGCATTATGTGCATCTCTGCAACTCATCTTCTAGTATAGTTTCATCTGAAAGGAATGCAGTTCTTGTCTTTACAAGCCACCTCATAACACAAGCCAAAACACCGTACACGTGAAGGATCAGATTTGCTTCAGAGGTACCCATGGAACCTCTTCAAGACTAATGTAAGCACACCCTGTAATTCCTTCATATAAGATCCCCTTTTTGCTTGCAGAACTGATGTTCAGTGATCAAAGCACCAATAAAGTTTATCTTGAATTCAATAGACTTTTTTTCCCTCCTGCACCAAGTGCAAAAGTTACCAGCACCAAGAGCATCCCCACCTCACACTGGACAAAGGAGGGATTATGCCTGTGCAGGTCTAGGGGAGGATTCCCACTAAGTGTTAGAGTCACCACTAACTCCTTAATCTTCCCATGACAGGATTGCTTCCTACTAAGCATATCAGTTTTGTGGCATGCCTTGAGTTCTCCCTGGTATTTACACTCCTCCCTAAAGTGCCAATCCCCAAACTGGGCACTATAACCCACCATTACTTCCCAAATGTCTGTCTCTGAGAAAGGGCCACTTGCTCTACTCGAAATTGCTCAAGTGAAAATTATTACCTACAGCTATTTGCAAGTCTTTTAGCAATCTCTGAGAAAGGCTTTTGTTTGACAACGTATTCTGCAGTCTTTGTTCCTAGATGGTTTTACATGAAGTGATATTAAGACAATTTTCTAAATTATTACATTTATAGCTTTTTTTAAATGAAAACATCTTCTTTATTTAACACCAGTGAGTCTAATTATCTTATTTAAACTGTTTATCAGAGGAATTTATAAGTAATAATCAAGAACTTTTATAAAAATGTTTAAACATCAGACAAAAAATAGTCAGTGGAAAATTCTCCAATCAATCACATAGCTACTGCATATTTTACAGGTAGCTATATTTTAAATTCCTTCTTTAAAACAGTTTTTAGCCTATTTGATACATGGCAAGCTAGTTATTCCCTTAACATGGCATTAAATCAAGCTCCTTGAAGAAATCAAACATCTCTATCAACAAGACCTAAAATATTACTCTTTAAAAGCATGCAGCACATTCATAGTAGTTAGCAACATCTTCCACATAATTTATCTAATAATGACGGGAACTCTATTTTTTACTCAAATCAATTATTCTATCCCAAAGATTAGAGTGTTCTCGTTGCTCAGAATTCTTGGTTCAAAAGTGAAAATTCTTCCAGAGGTGCTCCTTTCACACCATCCACAAGATGTCACCATTGGAAAAGAAAGCAACCTCATGTGTTGTGAAATTGCTTTATGTTCTGAGCCATGGATTATATTTATTCTACATCTCAATGCAGTCCATTGAATATTTCTTTTAATATAGGGACTACACATACTCAAAAAAAAAAATCTAAAATGTGGGGAAAAAAAGCTAAAATTATCTTCAAAAACATAGAAATCAAGAGCACACTTTAGCCACTTGGATTGAATTACCAAACACAAGAAAAACTTGGCAAACAGCAAGAGAAGTAGAAACATTTATGATTCCAGCATTGTAAATAACCTACACAGAAAATACTCTCAGTTTAGAAACCACACAGTATACAGATGCAAGTAATTAAAGAAAAAACTAGAACAGAAAAGCAAGTAGCCTCCCAGAGAACTCAAGGAAAGTTTGTTAGTTTTTGTATTTAATAAGGAAAATCAATCATGTGTCCAAGGCAGTTCACCTGTCAGAGAATTTAAAAAGAGATAAATTGATTGAAATCTATGCAGGTTTGGTGAAAACTCAAGCAAATCTCTATATAACCCTACTCACTCTATGAAAGAATAGGAAGACAGTATGCACAGGAAGGTTAGATGAAAAGAAGGTAGTAACTGGGAAAGTCAGAATTTGAATTTAATTTTAAAACTCGTAATGAAGATTCCAGCATCATAAATGAAGATCTAGCCTAAAAAGTGTTTCCAAAGACTTGTGACTTCTCCCCATTTTGTACACAATGATCTGAAATTGCAAAGAGTTAATGCACAAAGCAAGGAGTGATATTCTTTCTGCAGGTTCTATTCACCAGCTCCTTACAGAGTTTAAGCTGTCGAGAACTTTTTTTATGCACCACAACCATGGAAGGTTTTAAGGACTTGGTAACAATTCTGCACTGTTTCCATTGAATGGTCATATTACTAATCTACTTCCTCTCTGTGGGTGCACTGACTGCCTTTTAATGAACAACTTCATTAATTATTAAGAAGACAAATGTATTAAATCTTATGGTGTCTTTGGTCTAATAGGTGTGACAATTAATAAGAGTAAAAATGTAATCCCTTTACCATGCAAAAAGAAACAGTAATAAAAGAGTAGAGGCAAGATGTAAGAAGAAGAGGGTGTAGCAGCTGAGTAATCTGGAGGTTTTTTAATATTTAAGAATGGCCATTTCAATGCATTGCAAGCTAATCCAACTGAGTCTTCTAATAGGAGTGGTAAGGGATTAAAAAATGGACAAACCTCTAGCATAATTATAGCAAGTGAATTAAACATTCAGGATCTCAAATAATTGATCTTTAATGAGAAGGTAGTGGGAGTAACCACAGCACAAGCTTATAGTGCATCCATTACTCCACAGGATGTGTCCACACAGACATTCCTGTACCATTGTACCCAAAAAGCTTACCTTCCTTTTTCCTTGAGAGGCCATACCAGTAATACACAATGAAAAACCAAACAGATATTTCTGCAGGATCTTCAGACAGAAAATAACCAAAGCTGTGAGTGTTTTATGGCATTGAAGTACATACATCTAGGTTCACATGAAAATTTACTCCAGAAATTTATTTTTCATATATATTGTTTTTTGAAGTATCCTAATATACAGACTAGATAGGATGCACTACAAGCAGTTATTTGTCAAAACTTAACTAGATTCCAAGTAACACAACCTTACCTTGCCAGCTGTCATTGCAAACACACAGCTTCTCCCCTGTCAAATCACAGTACCCATGGTCTGGGCTGCCACAGTTGGCTTTGCAATATGGAATATCACAGGCTTCTCCTTTCCAGTACTTGTCACACTCACAGTATACCCGGCTTGGTGCTGACACACTGGTTGTACACTTCCCATGTTCTGAGCAGTTATTAGGACAGGAATTAATCCTGAAAAGAAAACCAAAGTTAAAACAAAGGAAATGACAAGCCAAGAGTTGATGACAGTGGTTTTATCTCCCAATAACCCAACAGTAATTTTTAAAGTACTTTTTTTGTTGTTGTTTCTTGAAAAAATTCAATGTACTGATAAAACATAAGTTTAATAACGATTTTACAGGCAAGTGAGCTGAAAGGGTGTTCAACATATAAAGTCTGTGATGCAGAGAGGATCACATACATCTTGTACTTTAAGAAGTTCTGACATAAAGCAGAAGAACATGTACTGACTGGACAGACCACCATCTAATTTTTCCCATGTTCCAGTATAAGCACTCTCTAGTCAGTCCCTTCAAATGCTTGTTATCTCCAGGAACATGCACACTGCAAGTGACTGTGAGCAGTAACTCAAACTCCCCACCACAGGCATACACAGTTAAAAGATTTTCCTGAGGGGCTTTGGTCCCTACTATAAAACAAAGCCTAAAATCCAAAAAGAATAAAACTGGAAAAACTGAGTGAGGAAAAATACAAGCTAGTTAATATTCTGAAACTACAAAAAAAAAAAAAAAAAGCAAAGCAGCACTTCCTGCTTTGAATCCTTAATAATAATCCACCTTAACTGCCTCCTTAACTCTGCAGTCAGAGATGCAACAAGAGGGAAGATTAGCCTGGAAAAAATCTGTAACTGCTCTGAGATTTCTGTGATACACCCTACTAAACACTGAGATCACAGGCAACTGGACTCTGCAAAATCATACAAGTCAGTTCTTGAAGTGCAGGCAATTCCTTGGAGATGAGAAGGGATGAGGGGACACTGAAGTATGTGAGTCCAAGAGATTCCATGCACAGAATATGAATCTCAGACAGTACACACTTGATGAAGTCCAAAAGTTTTTGGAAACAGGTTTTTTTAAAATAGCTTTTGACAACTCGCAGCAAAGAGTTGGGTTGAAACTCAAAATAAACTATTACTACAAACCCCTGATGGTAACACAGACTGCTCCTTGTAGATGTGAGAGCCGGATACTGTTCACAGCCTTCCTTTTTCTTACTGAAGGAAGAAAGAACTGAAAAAGCTAGTGAGAAATTGTTCAAGGCTGTGTGGCTGTAGTAGGACTGTCAGGAAACATGTTTTCATTTTCTAAAGACTCACACTTCAGAGGACTGATTCCTTACACCACTGAAAAAGAAAACTCCATGTCTGAACTGCAGGTTTTGCCAAGTAACACACATGGCATTAAAGTATTGATGGCATTAACCAGTGCATACCACAGCTCTAAGGAACCTCTCCACCTAACTTCATAGGGTTGGTACTCTGCAGGAAAGTCAATGGTTACATCTTGCCAGCAACTGCAGTAAGTCTAAAAGTAGATATATTCCCACTCCAATGGATCCATTAAAGATTCAAACAGAATGAGAAAGACTGGATCTGCAGAGTTGGAAGTGAATTGCCTGACTGCAAGGAACACTAAATTTACTCCTAGAGTTCTAGAGTAACTGTTGTCTTCCCCAAAATAAAGGAACTCGAGTGGTCCATCAAGATGAAGTCAAAGATGAAGTCAAAAACTGCTTTGGCGTTTCCGAACAAAGAGAGAGACAGTAAAAGAGAGGGCAACAGATCAGTGACAGAAAAATAATTAAAGCAGGCATACAAAGCAGTCATAGCTACTTCTTTTACCATAAAAAGAGTTACTGTTGGGTCGTTAATAAAATAATACAATTTAAAGTATCTATTGGAATAGAAGAAAAAGAAGAACAGAGTACACAAAATTTTGGGAGTTAAAAACTAGCAGGTTTTTTTCATCAATTTAAAATCTTCCAAAAAATTAGGTAATGGTATGTAGCACAAACCACATTACCAAAGTCATAAAAGAATGCAGAGCACATACTCATTTCTTAAGAATGCCATGTCATATTGCCATTTGACTCCAAGAAGAACAAAACAAACAAAAAGTTCAATAAAAGCTTCAGGGATAACTAAAAAAATATATCTAATAACTGTAGAGAAGTCTGCCAGGTGATCACATTTTACTGATGTCAACTGACAAAACTTAAAAATACCCAGTCTTCTAGACTGACATTTCTAATATTCAGTGAGGCTCCCAAAATCTGACTAGCTATTATCTGATAAAAGGCAAGTAAACTACTGAAAATTACAGAAATCAACTTTCCATAGACAACTTAACAAAGAACTCTGTCAAAAGTAAAGCTATGGTCAGAAGCACAGACAGGAATGTTAAATTAATAAAGAATATTATAAAATCATCTTGTGTACTTCCACATTTGAAGAGCAGTGCTAGCTAACACATCCCCCAAAAAATTGGCATTTCAGAGTCTGAAGAAATTGAAATAAAGGAACAAGAATATCTTCAGTCATGGGAAGACTATCACACGAAGGAACACCTCCAACAGGACCACGCAATCCCCTCTTGAGCTAAAGCATCCAGTATAAAGAGACTCTGCATGATGTGTCACAAGCATGTCCTAATTGAGACAGAAGTTGCAATCAACAGCTGGTGCAGCTAAGAAGGAAAAGGCTGCATTGTTAAGACTGCTGACACAGAAAAGCAGTTTGGAGGAAAACAGGTATAGTTATACCAGGCTAGACTTCATCATCAGAGAAATTAAAATGCAGACAGTCCAGAGAAGAACTAATAAGGCAGAATGCAGACTGAGATGGACAATTGGAGGGGGAAAGTACTCAAAACATAGAGAAGAAATTAAATAAAACCCTTGTAGCTGGACCCCCCAAAAATAAAATAAAATAAATACATTCAGTAAGAAAAAAAAATACTCATGCAACAGACAATCTTAATTCAAGCAAAGGAAATTGATATGAGAGTAGATCTGATCTCCTTTCTATTCCATGTGACAACTACACTTGCTGGATAAATAAACACTGAAGCAATACATTTAAATTCCATATGGCACAGGAAAAACATACTGATGGAATGGCCATGTGGCTTCCCTCAGTACAATACACTTTATCCCATTTTGGTTTTTCTTTATTTTTTTTAAACTAGTACCTTAATGACAACTCAGTACAACTCCAGCTCCCTGGTCTTAGAAACATACCATTAAGAATAACTCTTAGACTATGTATAAAATCAATAGATAAACACTTCCCCTGGGTTTGACATCCTCCTGAAAGGAATAATGGGCTAATTAAGAAAGGCATTATTTAATAAAAGAAATACTTACGAATAAAAAATGTTAAATCCAGTTAGGTTATAAGCAGCATCACTAAAAAAGTGTAGTAATGCATAGCCAGATGTAGTAACTACTTCAGGAACAGTTTCATTTCCACGCACTTCAGGGACTATTAGACCACTGGAAAAGAAAATTAGAATAGTTTTAATCAGTCATTGAGAGAGGAAATAAAAAAGAAAAGGAAAGAATTAAAGTTAGCTAGTCTGGTTATTAATTATATAAATCAGATAACTCAAATCTCATTTGAAAACAAACAGTAAACTGTGTATGAAACTTGTCTGTGCCTCTGCAAGGTAAGCTAGGGTTCTCCAGGAAAAAAAAAACAAAACACAAAAACAACTAAAAAACAACAAACAAACCCAAAACCACACCATTTCCTTTTGTGTCTCACACAGTGATGTGAAGTTTCACATCAGATTACTCTGAGGGTACATGTAAGTGTCAATGCATTGATTTTAATGCTCCTTGTCTATTATTGTATTAACCTGAAAAAAATCTTTAGCTATGTAGCAATTCTCATAAGCTACTAACAACAAGGAGAGAAATTCCACCATTTTAGTTGGTAGCAAATTTGAGCTCTCCTCCAAGATGAGAATTTGTAAATTTTAAACACTATGACATAGTCACAATGATGCCCAGTCTAGCAATCGAAGGAAACGTGTTACAAAACTGGTATTTAAATAGCCTTTGTATCAAATGTCTCAAACAAGTCTCTTCATTCTGCTTACAGAAACTTAGGAAGTGTTTAGGAGCCATTAATTACAGCCTACACGTAGGGCAACATTGTCTGGGTCACAGGTGGCCATTCTCCCTTAGGAGGATCACAGTAACATTACTGTCCAGTGCCATATTTAATGTACATTAAAACTCAGGGGTCACTATTCCAGCCTACTGGAAAATACAGGTCTGATTGCCTGTCTGTGAGCATTTACACTCCATGCAGTGTCATCAATAAGGACAAGCCACCTAAAGGATTTATGCTAAGATCACCTAACCAAAAAAAGTAGTATTTTGCAATTTATTCCAATATAACTTTATATACAAGCTCCCATGATATCAACAAAAGAAACCCAGCTATTTAACAAATTCAAGCCTCCAATAAAATTGTTCCCCCACAAACTAGAAGCATCCAGACATGACTACTTGCACTAAAAGGCTAATAAATACACTCACCTAAATACAGCTATTAAAGGTGCATATATTGAATCTCCATCATATACATACATATGGTCCCAACTACATTCTGTGGCAAAGTGATTAAACCTTAATCTTAGTATTGCATTTGGGCTGAAAAAAAAAAAAAAGGCAAACACTGATGTAAAACATTACTGAGCTCATAAGATAAAGAACGTACACAAAATTGATCAAGTCAGAAAAACCCTATTAAAACATATTTTGTACTAACTAAACATTTCAAGGAGTTAAATAACAAGCAGAATATTCTATTTCATCTTAGAATACTTTAACATCTTCAGTACAAGTCTAATAATCCCTAAAGTTAACAGGAAACCTCATTTCACAAGGTTTTATCAGTATTCAAACCCACAAATTTGGAGCAATTAAAATATCCAATTTTGATCCATTTTACTCTACAATGTCAGGGCTATGAGGTTTAAAGAGTCTTTCAAGATTAAAACCACCTACAATTTATCATTCCAGCATTGCACTAGTGACTGAAACTAAAAATCTTAAAACATAAAATGCAAAATAAGGCAAGATTATTTTTTATCTCTTCCCCTGACTCCCCTCCCCCAGTCTGACACCTGGGAGTCAGATTTCACCACTTTTTGGTAGAGATCCAGGTGGGGACTGCAAGATTCCTGAAAGGGGAATTTTCTCATGTGACAAAATGAGCAGACTCCTAAACATACTCTGAACAACATACTGATGATTTTTTTTCATTTTAGTTTTTCCCCCCCTGCTGACAGACCCAAGCCTAGCTTGTCAGTTTGGAAGACATATGCATGCCTTTTTCATGAGATATCACTTGGAGAGCATTCTCTTTGTTCACTTTCAAGAGTATTTTATACATTTGTGATTTCCCTGTGTGTTGACATTTTGCTGTGTTACTGGATTGCATTACTTTTCCCCATACTGTGCAGCATATTGTTTCTTCCAGCTACCCACCCCACCATCTCCCGGCAAAGAGGAGGCACAGAGGGAAGACCAGCTTCAAAGCAGAGCTGTGTACAGTCCTGAGGCATGTTTCCACTTCAGCTTAGTGTGGTGCAAATACTCCTGAGCTAGCTTGGGTGAAAAGAAAAGTCTGGCTGTGTCAGAAAGATACTCAGCTACAGCCTAATCCCCTAGATATTGCAGCTTCTACTGAAATGGTTTAAAAAAAAAAAAAAATACCCATAACTTCATTGCTGTTGTGTTTAATCACTATCTGCATATAAGCAGACCAAAATGAGATCAGACAAATCACTGCTGAATTGCAGTAACAGAGCAGACATCTAAAGTAGGAGATATTATGATAATGTGGCAAGAGAGAAGGGGGCAATTTTCTTCTAGAACACTAGTGGAGCTTGGACCTATCTCAATTTTTCAGCAAAATCCTAACCCACAGCCTAGGGGGAAAAATCCCACTGAAATTTAATGAATTTGTGCCCTTAACAGTTACCCTTCCAGTGTATGTCTTATTATTTCTTTGTGCATGTCTGAGTGTTTCTGTGCTGCATAAATTGAAAAATTAGCAACAGACATGAGACATCTAGGCTACATAAACTGTGGCCAGAATATGATTTTTAAATTAAGTACATGAGGAAAACTAGAATGCAAAAGAAAATACTTTGACATAAATTTATAATATTAACTTTAGAGCAACACATAACTGAATTATCATCATCAGACTGGAAACATTATGTCCTTGAAGCCATTCCTGATTTATCACTGGAGAGTAAGATGAGTTAAATAATACAATTCTGTAACATTTGGAACGTATGTAAAGGTACTGAAACAGGCAACAAATTCATCATAGGGTTTTGAGAACTTGCAGCACTGACCAAATTCCAACATCAGCCTAACTTTTGCCAGCAATTTCAATGGGAATGGAATTTGGCCAACTCTAAGCAGTCCTGAAAATCATACTTCAACTTTTCTTCTTTTTTAAAACCGATTAAACTATATAAACAAAAACAAACCAAACAAAAATCCCAAAACTGTTTCTATTGTGTCCAGATGCAGTTGTTACTTGAGGCAATCTTTAGACGTCTAGAATATACAGTACAAAACTATCAGAAAATTTAAGCTATGAAAATACTTACTATCCTTCAATTAACCATGTACATTTAGTTTTATATTTATAATTTATTGGCCCATCTGTTAAATATCCAGAAGGTTCTGTTAACCTACAAAAGAAAAAACAGCTCTATAAGAAACCAGAGACAACACAAGAGAATACATGCAATCAACATGCCAATACATTCTTTCTGGATGGAAAGAAAATTGGGAGTGAGGGAAAG